GCTCCGTCTCGCGCGGGGCGAGGGGGGGTCCCGGTGGGCCCTGCTTCTCTCCCCGGTGAGCCCGGGAGCCAGCGGGGAGGCGTGTACCGGTCGGGGGAGGAGCGGAGCGGAGCCAGCGGCCCAGCCTGAGGACCCCGGGAGAGGATTTCTGTGGCTGAACAGAGCGGGAGCCGCTCACACCGGAGCCAGCCGCTGCTGCGGGCCCTGGGCTCCCCTTATCCCAGCGGTGTTGCTGCTGAGGACTGAGCAGCACCGACCTCCTCCTCCCGTGTTAAGAAAGCTTTGAGTTTTTCCCACGGTGTCTTGCTGGGCTCGGTGGAAGGGGCTGTCAGGCCTCTCCTGAGGTCAGTGCTGTTCTCAAACCTGGTGAGGTAATGGTCTGAAGGAGACTGAGGCAGTCAATATTTTGCAAAAAAACACCTTAGTCTCTGGGCAGAGGACAGAATTTATGTCCTTGAGGAAAAGGCAGGAATAATATAGCTTTTTAGTGTCCTGAGGGTCAGCATGCGTGTGCTGCCTCCAAAGCAACTGCCATGTGTGCTGCCTTTTGCTTGGCCAAAAGGGTGAGAGGTGGGATGCAGGATTGTTGTGGCAGTCGTGTGGGTGATCACGCACATGGGGTGATGGAGCAAACCTACAGGAAGCCACCTTTGTTAGTTTTACTGCCCATAGAGAAACTTCTCATTACTTGCAGTAGTTTCTCCTGTTTCTGGAGTGCTTGGCTGCTCCTGGATTATGATTCTTTTAAGAAAACATATTTTTCCTTCACAGTGCAGTGCTCTGTACTTGAGAGGCTGAAAGGAGAACTCGGTGCAGGGATGGGAAACGCTTGTTTCACAAGCAATTTCTGAACTGAAAGGAAGTGTCATGGTTGGGAAATGGTTGGAGTTGTTTCTGTTCCCTCAAGGTAACTTGACTGTCTCCTGAAGCAGCTTCTCTTGCTGGTTGAAGCAAAGGCGTTATTTACTGAGCATGGCTTATTTTCATTTTTCTTCTTTCCTCTTCATTCTCTTTATACCTTCTCCGTCCACCCTGGTGCACAAGAAGGCAATTGAGAGGAAAAGGAGCACATGGACAGTAAGTCAAGCAGTAAGGAACCTGTGGTGGTTCTCAGCAGAAGTCACTGCCAGGGTAGTAGCAGAGTTGAAAGAACCAAACATAATAAAGCGAAGAGCGAGAGTATGTGTTTGTTAGCTGAAAGGCTCTGAAAATCCTGTTAGAATGACTGAGAAAAGGGAAACTGGGGGATCCTTCAAGGCTTTTGAAAGAATAGAAGCAGCCTCATGAATTGCACACGTAGGGCAAGTCTTGTCTGGCGTAAAGTTGCTGTGATCAAGGTCCTCTCTAGTTTCTGTTACACCCTGGGTTTCACTTAATACCCAGCAGAGACTAGTGTAGCTGCTTCCCAAGGTTACTGCCACAAAGAAAGTTTTGCAGCACGCATTGCTGTGAGCAGTGTTCTGTTATTCTGGGTGCTGTCCAGGCAGGTGACAAGAAGTGCTCCCCCCTGTGAAGAGTTTATGACTGTCACAACGCTTTTTTTAGTTGTGCTGGGTTTGGTCATTGTGAAAATGCGACTCACAAGACAGTTTTCTCCCCGTTTCAGCAAACACCATCCGTTGCTTCAGAAGCCCTTGCCCTTTTTTGATGCTGTGCCCTCAGCAAGGGGAAGCTGCATGATCGACCCACAGACCTCCCAGCTGGGGCACATAGGGCAGGCTGCCAATGCCAGTGTGCTGTGGAGGAGAGTCCCTGCTGGGGTTGTGGGTAGGATCCTTTAATCCCTGCTGAAATCTCCGCTGATAACCAGGTGTAACCTGGGCTCACCCTACTCATGTGGTGTTTGTCAGGGAAGTCACCATTCAGTGCAAAGTAGCTGCCCTGGTGTAGGGGGGACTAGGGAGCAGGAAGAGTTCAGTACCTTGGCTTTGACTACTCCTGCTTTCCCGCTCTTTAGAAAGGTAATGAATGCGACCACTCTTCTTCCCCTTTGAAGGTCAATACCAGTCTAGATTAATACTTTGTTTTGTTCACATACCTACTAAACACCCAGCCTCTTCCCTTCTTTTATGCCTTCAGGACAGTGTGCGGGCAGCACCCATGCTTGTCTGGCTCCCACTAAGACAGAGCAATGGGATAAGCCCATTCCTGAACTTTGGTGTACTGCTGTTGTGCCTGTCAGCTTCTGTGGAGTGTTTCTTCCCTCCCTGTCCCATGGAGCGAATGTCACTGTCCTGCTGTCCATAAAAGAGCAGAGATACTTACGTGAGCCATTCCAGTTGCTGCAAATAGAGCAAAGAGTGTACTGTCTTTCTCTGGCAGCCTGGATGCATTTTCTGTAGTGAATATTTTCCTGCTTTTGGTCGCAAGGGATAAATTGCAGTCGATGGATGTTGCTGCAACTGGACGAGTACCCACCGTATGCTATCAGAATAAGGAGCGCATCTTAATCTTGCAACCGCAAACACAGCACAAAGAGGTTAGGTGGTTACAGGATCGCATTCCTTGGCCTGAAGTTTTCTTGTGCTGTGTGAGTGCTGCTGCTGTTTTCTCCGTGCAGTGCAGGTAACTTGAAGTGGGCGCCCAAACGCTCTCTGCACTGAGATACCCCAGTCACTGCACGGGCTTTTTGTGTCTGTA